AATCAAATCAATCTCGAGGAAAAAAGGTTTTAAAAAAAGAAAGAGCTACAAACATGAACTTCTGCCGACAAAAAAAAAAATCGCACAGATGCAGGTCTGAAGCTCAAAGAAAAAACCCCGATACGAGTAACAACTAACTAACAAAATGGGAAATATTAAAAAAATGCCCAAAATATAAAAGCAGGCCATAAATTTTGCAAATTATGTGCAGAGGAGAAATTAGCCATAGCTTTATATGATCAACCTAACCAGCTATTAAACTCTAAAACTGAAATTCTTAATGTATGTAGACATAAAAAATCTTGGCTACTAAATTAGACGTTTTCCCGTTATTGACTTTCCACTGAGGATTTTTTTTTGTTGAATAAATATTTACCCCCCCCCACTTAAGTTTTTTTTTTGTCACGTGGTATGATTTTAGCTATTACCTATAAATATGTGTTTCTCTTTGCCTCGTTAGCCAAACTTTCCCTGACGATCCGTTTAGGTGAAACCTAGGTAGGTTTGTCTGGCTCACTAGGTGTATATATATATATATATATATATATATATATATGAGGGTATCCTACTATGAGATAATGTCTTGCGAGTTAGTCTTGTAGATCATTCCCACTTTGATACTTAGTGACTATCTGCACTTGTATCCTTGTACCAGACTTAGCTAAACTTAGTAAATGATCATTTTTGTGTGTGTGTGTGTGTGTGTGTAAGAGAAAAAGAGAGAGAGAGGTGAAGAAACAGAAACAGAAATATAGAGAGGGATAGGAAGAAGGCAAGTGTGAGGAGGGAGTAAAAAGAAAAATGAGCAAAATGCAAGGATCAAAATCGGTACCCCCCACCTCCGCCAAATAACACCTCCGCTTCCCCCCTGCCATAAAACATGCTGTAACTATTATACCAGGCTCTTGACCGACAGTTTTTAATTCTAACATTTCCATCTCTGATGCCTTAAAATATCTTTGGCCATAGGATTAGGTTTGTTTTTTTCCAAAATAAATACATGAAAAACAAAAAAAAAAAAAAAAAAAAAAAAAACAAGAAGACAGTAAAAGTAAGTAAAAACAGAAAATGTAAAAACAGGGTTAGCGGGGGGGGGGAAGTAGACATGCAGTAACTTCAACGAGCAACTGTTAACGCTACATGTCCATCGCCTGGTCCGGCCTCCGAAACCCAACCCAGATCGTTTGCATTTTGTTGCTGCGTCGGTTATCTCTCAAACATGGAAGACTTCCAGAATGTTCAATGGCTTGAAAAAAAAAGTTTTGGATTACTGGTCTTTATTTGAAGTTCTACCTTAGCTGAATGCCACTTGAGGTCAGCTAAATCGGCAGAACAATGTACGTTTTATTTGTGAGGGGGGTTCTTTTTCTGTCTGTCTAAAAAAAAAAAAATATTTACATGAACACATCAGTATTTTGGCTTAGCTTAGTCTGGCATAAGACTGCAAATACAGTGCACCAGTTCAAAATTGAACACACAATGAAATAGTAATTAATCTGCCTATCTTTACACAAAAGCAAGACACCCTTACATACCAATATATATGTTTTGTTAAAGACAACTTGCACATTACTGCGGGTTTTTTTTTATTTAATTTTTCTTGTGTTCATACAAGTGTTTTCTTTTCTGAGACGAAAAAAATTAAATGCGAATCGAAATATTTTTTTTTTTAAATGTCTTATTGATAACGGATACAAACTTTTGGAGTGTGCAGTAGTAATGCTAAGGTTGAATTTTTTTGAAAATTTAAGAGAATGCGTTTTTTACTAATATGGCAATTTGAGAATTTTTCTTTTTTTGTTGTAGGAGTTTATCAGTCAATGTAGCATGGACTAAATTGTTCAGTAAATAGAGTAATGTCTCAGTTGCTATCCAGAAAATTTGCACGTCGGATCAGCTTTTTTAAATCAAATATGTGGGGCAGTTCAACTTATATTACAATGAATCATTCATACAAAAAGATTACATTCATTGAGTGATTTGTAGGTTAATGCACCTTTAAAATTTTATTAGCGAAGAGATTTCGCCATTTTATATCATTAATTTTACTAATCTACTTTTTGTATGAATTATTCATTGTTATATTATATATATATATATATATATATATATATATATATATATATATATATGTATGTATGTATGTATGTATGTATTATTAGGGGCATAAATGAGAAAGGAACATGACTGCCTAAACTGAAAATTAGAGCTCTGCCTTCCAATTCTGTTTCTCACAATGATAATTATTACGCCACCTGCACATCCATATATAAATCCCTCCCTGGATAAATGCATATTGCCTACATTATTTTTTTTATTATTATGGTTTGTATTGTAACACCTTTTGGCATCATCTACACCCAGCGGTGTAACCACATTTAGTGGTTAGGTCCTCAGGGGCTTAAGACAATGTTTTAACCACAGGGTTAACTCTGCACTGGTCAATGCCGATGCTGGTTGTTGGTCACTGGCTGCTTTCGATCCACACCAACTCTACCCATGTTGTGTTCTTCATCTCAGAGCAGTGGATGATCGAATGTCATAATGACAGTGCAGGTGCAAGCCATGACAGGTGCTACATTAAGAAAGAAAAATATCTTCACAACAAAAAAAATAAAATAAAATATTCATGGGGGTTAATCTTCAATTGGTTTATATAACTCTTGGTACAACAAAAATTAAGCCTTCCCACATCAATCTCTATAGTGACACTGAGCCTTCTCTAAATTTCTGGAGGAGCTGATTTCAAAGTTCTTGGAATGAAGAAATCTTGTGGCAGCTGATATGAATTTCAGAGGTACTTGATATGGGTTCTCAGCCTAAAATATCTGAGCTTCCAAAGTGCACTTTAGCCCAAAACTGGCATGGATCAGAACGATTTTGGGGATTTGGTGATTCACCAATCCTCACATTAATCTCAATAAAAGTTTTCTTTGTTTCATATTTCTGCTTTCTTAATCAACTTTCCAAATTTGGAGAATTATCCACTCTCCTTGGTAGTAGTCCCAAGGATTGCTCTTCCCTTAACTCCAACTTGCTTCACTTCACATCTCGCACCACCACTCCACATAAGCGAGGCTAAGTTCTGTCGCTTCCTTCTCAGTATTCTAACTCTGCCCACTTCTCAGGTCTGGCATAACTGCTTCTCATTTTAACCTTCCAAGTGATAAATAAAAATTATTTCCCAATTTGTTTTCATCAACGAAAATATATTTGTTTACCTAAATTCTCAACAAAGAGACACAGTTTTCCATCCTTAGGCCAATCACCATCTTAGCAAAAACCTAAATCAGACCACCTGCCTGTTACAAAAGGATTGATTTTCATAATCCTAACCCTCACAATGGGTTAATTCTCTGTTTTCATTTCTCAATTTGTTTTTGCAAGCAAAAATATAATTCCCATCTGCCTCTCTTCTCGCCAATGACATATGTTTTTCTAATTTCCCAAGAAGGAGATAAAGCCATTTCCCAATTTGCTTTACCAACTTACCAGATTTTCAATAAAAAAGTAAACTCTTCGTGCATTGTTCCAATTTGTAAGAGTATCTGGATTGTCTCAATCCAGATAGCCCTTTCTTCACTTCTGCATTACCAGGGAAAATGTTTTCCTCTCTCTCTCTATCTATATATATATATATATATATATATATATATATATATTTTCCAGTTTATATTTCATTTTGGGCTGAACCCTTTTCCTGCTTAAAATTGTTTAACTACTTCATTGTCTCAGTGCTACAGTATCTCTTTTGTTTGACCATCATACACACAGACATATGCCATTGTATTTCTTGGCAAATGTCTACAGATTTATTGGGGGTGGGGACTATAGCAGAAATTAAAATCTACATTTCATGTTCATTCCCATGGCCCAATATAGACATTACAATTAGGCTACCATGGAACCAATGAGAATCACTTGCTGGAGTATATAAAAAGGAACAGTAAGCCCTTTCTTCCTCTTTTTTTTATCTCACTGGACATTGGTCATGAGGCTCAGCCTTTTACAATTGGTTCATCATGCTAGAAAGACATTGTGTTGACATCTCCCAAAATGCAGCTTTTACAACCTGGACATATTTCATTGTCCTGAAAACAAACAAAAAATTGTACAACTATACATTTCAGGCTAGCAGAGCCAGTGTATGGGTCTTGTGGGCCCCTACCAAATCTATGATACAGGGTCTCCTGAATCTATGATATGGAGATTTTTAAGGCCAACTCAAGATTTTTCTTGTTAAAATGTTAAATAATTTTAACACATTTAATAACATGGATAAAAAATATTGAATTTTATTTCATGCTTTTTGAAAACTTAACACGAGCAAAACAAAGTCACAGATTTGGACAAAAAAAAATTGAATTACATCAAAATCCACAAAATTTTTTACCCTTTCTTGTGCTTAGTTTAATTTGTAACACATAAAAATGTAAGAGGAAAAAAAATCAAATGTTGATAACATAGTAACTACCCGGACCCCCAAACAGGTTTTAAGTGAAGGGCTGTCACAAAGCATGTGTCTTTGAATGTAGTTTGGAGAGTTACTGTTAAATGCTTTAATTAAGAAGAGGATAACGAGCATTTTTTTCTGAGGTTTGCCAACATTGGACATATCTTTATCAACATTGGACACATTATGAATATTAATATATTTTCAACATTGGATATAAACAACAAAAATATCTTATTCTTTAAACTCAACAATATCATTAAAATTTGTCGTATATAAAATAGGAATTTAGTAAAATGATTTTAAAATAAATTTTACGTGAGAAATTGCGAAATGATTTTCCCTTCTTCCAGAAAGATTTACACAGCTTTCAAATTTGTATAATATTAAACATAATCAGTTTTTTTTTATTTTTGTGTGTATGTTTTTTCATTATTTTTTACTTTTTTTGTTTGTTTCTTGGTTTTGTTTGTTTTGCAACATTTTTTTGTTTTGTTTTACATTTTAGCATGTTTTTTTTTTCTTTTGTTTTCATTTTCAATCAAACTTGGAAAGGTCTTTTTTTTCATAAGTATGATAAGTCCATTTGATCCCGTTTTCATCCTGTTCCTCTCTTGGCACATTGGGCAACCTGAATTGAAAATAAAAGAAAAAGATTTAGGATGCACGTTCAAGTGCAAGATGTATACAAAAGTTTTCTCCACCAGTTTTCAACTGTTTATTCCGGCTCTAATTCAAAAAGAGAAAAAAGATTGATGGGTATCTGACATATAGGACATAAATGAATGGAATCATCTGTTTATGTAAATAAGAAGAGTTGAAGAGAGTAAGCATTCAGTCAATTGCCAAGTCTACCTTCATGTAGTAAACCTTCTATCTCATTACTTATCTATGAGTTTGTCTTCCTTATTTATTTCCCTCTGATATCTCAAAAACATGAGATACAACAGTTCATATCCATCTATCTCTGTTCATATCTGTCTCATTCTATTAAGCCCTCTCACTCTCTCTTTCAGTCTGTTCATATCTATTTCTTCATCTAGGTTCTTTCATCTCTCCATCTATCTCTGTTCATGTCATATAGTCAATCATTTATGTGCCATGTGTGATACATGCTTAGGCAATCATATATCTTAATACATGACTAATGAGGTAGATTTTTTCCGCGCAGTAGGATGCCATTTTCTTTCTGGGGTAGACCAGTTGCCATCCAAGGCTATACAACACAGTCTGTCCTGTTATTTATCCATAGCTGGAGGAAGAAGAAGAGGATTCATACCTTTCCCAAGAGTATTAGCACATAAGTGAATGTAAGGGATTTGAGTGGAATTCGAACTCAGCTCTCTGATTCCTCAATCTGAGCCACTATCCATTACTACACCATGCCTAGGGCATAAATGAATGGAATTGTCCATTTATGTAAATAAGTTGTGTTAGGAAGAGTTAAGGAGAGTTAGTATTAGGTCATTTGCTAATCTATCTTTGTGTAGTAAACCTATCTTCATTACTTACCGACGGGTTTGTCTTCCTTAGCCCTCTTAGTCCATTAATTTCTGTCTCTTCATCTAGGTCCGTTATCTATCTATTTTTGTTAATGACATATAGTATATAAATGAATGGAATCATCTGTTTATGTACATAAGCAGAGTTAAGGAGAGTTAGCACGAGGTCAGTTGCTAAGTGTACCTTTGTGCAGTAAACCTTCTATTTCATTACTTACCTACGAGTTTGTCTTCCTTATTTATTTCACTGTTATTTCAAAAACACGAGATACAACAGTAATTTTTGCACACACCTAATACATATAGTTTTTGTTTCTTTTTGTTAACTTATGCAATTATGAAGAGAAAACATACTATTTTTCCAGTTTTAGACAAGTATGCGAGATCTTCAAACTACTGAATAACAAAGAAGTACCATCTATTTTTCATCAACCAATAATCCACTACATCTTTTAAATTGGACATAATTATGAGTAAGCATTAGGCTTACTGCTACTCCCACACAATACAACTTAGAACACAAACATTGAAAACATTAATAGTAAACCCCTTGAAAATGGCTAATGCATTGTGTACAAGTGTTTGTGATAATAATCATTATGGACAGTTTCTACACTTTTATCAGCCCAGCCACAAAAGAAAAACTCTAAGAATATTAGAAAAAAATAATAATAAAACTTTTCCTTGTCTGTTACATTCAATAAAATACACACACACATATAAGTAAATACTCTGTTTATAATAAACAGTATTAACAACATTTACTGGCCTGAATGTCCAAGAAATTTTCATAGAACTTTCTCCGACATTCAGGCTGGTAAATGTTGTTAATACTGTTTATTATAAACAAAGCATTTACTTAAATATTTGTTTCTATAAAAATAACATATAAACATAAAAAAATGTCTTAAAAAAATAATTGTCGGACTTTGTCAATTTCATAATGTGTGACATCATTTGTTTACATTTGGATACGCATCAAGCAGATATGAATGTATGAGAGAAAATCATGGAGAATTGTAGTTTAAAAACAGTAAAATCGACCTTGCTCACCGAAACACTCCTCTGTGGCTCAATCGGTAAAACCACATCAGGCTATGACAGTTCCGTATAAGATACAAGTTTGATTCTTGTCGAAGGACACATTTTCTATGAAAATTTCTCAGACATTCAGGCCAGTAAATATATATATATATATATATATATATATATATATATATAGAGAGAGAGAGAGAGAGAGAGAGAGGAGAGAGAGTTACAGTGAGAATGAATAGAGTACACTTCCAACATTCATAGCATTTAATTTAAAGAGGGCTCAATCCATAGTAGAGCAATATTATTCATTTTAGGATATTCCAACAAAAACATGTAAGAATCACTACACAGTTGCAGTCATGTTTCAACACATAATTTTGAAAAACATAAAATAATTAAAAAAGATAATTTTAATAAATAAAAATAAAAAAAAAAAATCTTTTTTTAAATAAATAAAAAAAAAAATAAGGCTAGAGCCTTCAAGCTTTTATTTTTTTTTTTCAAAAACTGAGGATATATTTTGCTTTTGAAACCAAATTACTGGCATTTACTCACCAGTAATTTACAATCACCTGAAGAATAACATCATTATGTGTTGAAACATGACTGCAACTGTGTAACAATTCTTAGATGTTTTCATTGTAATATCCTAAACAGAAAACAACTTTCAGTACAATTAACAGTAAGAATACTGCAAGTGAGAGGCCTCGAAAAAGAATGCAGCGAAAAGGGAAGTAATAATTCAAAGTGCTAAAGGTTAAAAACCTATCAGTATCACTGAATATATATTTGCACCAAATGGGTTTTTTAATTATTTAGAATTTAAGAGTTATTGGATTATCATATGTCATGATATTCTTCTCAAAGGGACGTAATTCAGAATTATTCTTTTTTGAACTTCTGTATAAAAAATAATTTAGCAGTTTCAAAAATAGAAAATCTAAATTCTTTTTTAAAAAAAAACAAATACAACTTTTCATTTTTCGATATTTCGAACCTGTCTTTACTTAATAAAGAGAACTCTTTTTACGAACGCCAACGGGATGAATTTCAAAATCTGAAAAATTACAAATAAATTATTTCAAAAATTAAATATTCACTGTGTTTTCTTTCTTGTCCAATCTGAAAGAAAATAATATATTTTATTTAAACTATGCAAACACCAACTCTCAAAAAAAATAAAAATATTTTTGAGTTTTATTGAATTAAGGAAGGTTCAGGCAGTACAAAACGGCCCTGCTGATTCTTTTACCTATATGCAACGACTTCTACACAGTTCAGACGCCCCAATGTCATTCACAATGCTGGACTCAACCCGTGGTATAATTTTCACACATTTTCTAAGATCATGACTATGGTAAGATGTGAACCCGTCTCTCATGATCAAAAGGTGAATGCTCTAACACTTGGCCATTCGACCATATAAAGCTTACAATAGTAAAGTTAGCAAGGGAGGTAACCCACGAAAGATTTTTTACGAGTTATTTCCCTTAATCTTACATATTGAATTCTGGATGAGAATGGATAAAGTAAATACTGATAAAAATTGCAAATCATTGATAAATATTGAGGACTCTAGTTATAACGCTCATTGTGTTCGATCGCGGGGTTCACAGGAGTCCTGAAGAACCAAAGTGGGCCCAGAAATTTCCTATAGTCTCAGAAAAATGTTTACGTATATTAAAGACGAACATTCACATTGTTTTGTGTGCACTTTCCAATTCAGCTAATAAAATCCATAGTAGATAAAGAAAAACCAAAAAAAAAAAACAGTATGACTGATGCAATGTTACAAACAAGTCTCCTGACGAGTGGAGAAACACAGAGTAGGAACAAGATAAGTGACCACTTAATTTTATTTGTTACTATTAATGCTCTATGGCTGGTTGGTTGATTTTGTTTAGTGCATATCAGCAGCTCTATGGGTCATTTAATGCCGAAATCTAAATTTGAACACAATTTTATGACTTCAATATATTTTGAATGCAAATGTATGCTTTCAACTACAAATAAAATGTATTGCTGGTCATTTTGCTATTTAGATGTTTGCTTAGCTGCATATCAACTCCTTAGGAGTCATTTAAAGCCAAAATTTAATTTTAAAAGCATTAGAAATTTCTTTTAAAAACATGTATTGCTGGTATTTTTACTATAAAAATGTATTTTTATACTTTCATAGTGTTTTGACCCCAGTTTGGGGGTTAACTATTTACCCATAGCTGAGACCCAAACAGGTGCTACAACCCTGGGTCAGGGTAGACCTGGGAACAACAGCAATGGTTCCATGCTCCTCAAAACCTCCAGTCTCATGATCAGAGGCCTTGCTACCAGATGTAGTTTATTATCATACCCAATGAAAAAAAATGAGAGATCTTGAAACTTAACTCAGAGATGTATATATATATATATATATATATATATATATATATATATGTAAGCAATAATATGGATATAGATCCAACAGTATGAAGAAAAATATACTGAAAAAAAAAAAAAAAAAAAAAAAAAAAGACAAACAAAATCCTAATATGCGATTATGCTGTTTTAATGTTTAATGTCAACGTCGGACGTTTCGGTCTAATAGACCATCTTCAGGACATATTCATAAAACATAATTAACATAGACCATATATAATTCAACATGAAAAAGGCGATGGACATAAAAGCAATACCAATCCAAACAGACGTGATCAAATTTAAACGAAACGCTGTTCTTATAAAAGATTTCAGTTATCTGACATTGCATTTAAATTTTTGCAGATTAAAGTTGAAACACATGGTGCCGAAAGAGAGTTCTACAAGAAATTTAACACTCAAAAGGACATGTTAAAGGCAAAAGGGACAGAGGAAAGCGGCACATAATCTACCTAACTTGTGTTGATGAAATAGAGTTTAGGAGAGATAGAAAAAAGACAAACTTTACTAAGAGCTACAAAGGACAGGAAGTTATGGAGAGCTATAATCGCCCACATCCTGAATGGATATGGCATACAGAAGAAAAACAATGCTCTATCTCTTGTTACTGAGGACTATAATTACAAAGAATGCTTGATTAAAAGTGTTATCTTCTAAAAATACACTTGCTAACTATTTTCTTTATTCTTGTTTTTTTTTTTTTTCAGGCCATTGTATGCTCTGGTCTTCTTCAGGTGATTGGAATCAAGGATACATGGCCCAGTGGATAAAGACGTTGTTTAGATCCAGTGACTAGAAACAAAGAGTTGTGAGTTCAATACCAAGCCACAGCAGTGGTGAACCAAAACTTGGAGAGTTGAGTTAAGGGGAAATAACTAAGACATCTGGAAGAGGCATGGCACATGGAACTAGAACAATCTACCTTGGTGAATGAAATAAAGGGTTCGGTTTGAAATTCCAATCACCTGAAGATGGCTGGAGCATACAACAGCTGAAACATTGTGAATATGGTAATGAAGATAAGGATAACAGTCCGAATAATGTAAATAATACAAGAAATCATAATACCTCATCTCAGAGATATAGATAGATGTTTGGGTCTATTCACTGGATCTAACCAACATCTTTATCCAATGGGGAAAAGGTTGTGAATATGGCAATGAAGATGAGGATAACAGTCCGAATAATGTAAATAATGCAAGTAATCATAATACCTCATCTCAGAGATATAGAGGCCAAAATGTTGTGAATATGGCAATGAAGATGAGGATAACAGTTCAAATAATGTAAATAATGAAAGTGATATCTTGTAGTTTTCTTTTTATAGCACCAGTCCCCCAATGCTTTTTAATCAGACTGTGTATATCAGAGCTTTGTTACTTTTGTTTTGTTTTGCCAATTGTTTTTGGTTTAGTAATAAATTTATAACAAATGTTGAAAATAAACAAACAAATAAAAGAGGTAAGTTGATTCTCACCCAAAAACTTCAGGGAATATTTCTTCACTGAATTCAGGAAAAAAAGTATCACAGTTGAAGTCAGCCTTTATCTTTGTCAGGTATATTCGACATGGATATTTCGATTCTAATAATTCCTGCAAAAAAAAAAAAAAAAACGAAAAGAAAGAAATGGTGTTGTAATCTAGGGAAGGTTACTGAATAGTATAATCACACAAAGGTTGGTAATGAATGATAATACTTAGGACAAGAACAACACATATAAGATTTGCCAGCGGCATGTAGAAGTAGTAGTCAATTCTTGAACGACAGAACGGTTCAACTCTCTGTCTACGGACGGAGAGGAACCCGAGAGAGGTAAAACCGGCCCTGAACCCATTTATACGGGTTCAAATGGGCTATTTTTTGGCCGAGCCTAATGGCTTGGAAATGCCCACGTTAAAAAGGCCTTGTGCCACATGACACCCTCGTGGGGGGGGGGTGACTGAATATCGTCAACTGCTAGAAGTGAGTCAAGTGAATTCCACAATGAATCTCCACTTGTAGACCAACATACAGTATTTACTACTGTATTTATGTAAATGTGCACATACCCATTATTGTCCATAGGTATGCTACAACAAAAGGGAAAGGAAATTTTTTCCAGAGAAAAAATTTTTTAGCCATTTTCAAAAGCGTTGGTTGCTGAAAGAAACAACACAGCAATAAATAAATAAAAAAAATTAAATTTAAAAAGTGATGGTTACTTTAAAAGTAATACTTTCTACTTATTTTAACACAAACTACAACAGCTGCATGGAGCAAAATAACACCATTGGTTAGAGCAAGTATTTAGATAGATAAACAATATTCTTCCTAGTCACCACTACTGGCTATGCATTTTTCACCCGCAATAAACAAAGACCTGCATGCTGTACTCATAAAAATCTTCACCAGCTGAAGCAACCTGCTTTTTAGCATACATCAATGCCACCTCTGCTGTAATGCATTATACCCACTGCCTAACTGAGCTCAAATCCACTATTTGGTCCCCATAAACATTCAGCAAGTGTTCATGAATGTTAACAGGTGAAATTTTTTGCATATAGAGTCATTTAATAAAACACTTGTGTTTTGTACACACTTTCAGGTCAAAGTCCACTTTTTCAGACTACCAATCAACACCACATTTGATATCATGGGTCAACATAATAGGAGGCATTACTTTCAGAGCAACTATAATATGTACATATACTATGCCATATTTTAATCTTAAATATAATTTATATATATTATTATATAATAATATAAAAATTTAATATTATACTAGACCATTCATAAACCTGTTGAGTTTCTTTTAAAAGCAGTTGTCATACGAAATGATGAGGTAACAATCAATTTTATTATTAATTTTAATTTGCATTTAAAGATGGTTTATGATCTCTATTGGATCATGTCATTTAAGTCATGACAATTACGTGTGAAAAATATTGCCCAAATGTCTGACAAATCTGAATGAAAAAGAAAAAAATCATTAGATGCTTAAATTTAATTCACATTTAAAATCAAGTTATTGGAACACCCTTTATTATACACTGTAAAAATGCATGAAAATTATGTGGATTTTACATGTTTTTATCAGGTTAGCAGAACTTCTGCCACAAAAAAAAGCAATAATATTCAATGAATTAAGACTGGCCTGAGGATTGCATCTTAGCATGAAACAGACTGTCACCTCTAAGTGTTGACTTCTATGTTCACTTTCATATATATATATATATATATATATATATATATATATATATATATGTATGCTAGGAAAATGAACAAGTAGTTTCACTTTATTAAAGCTTCGTCAGAGATCAAGATTTTTTTTCTGTTTTGATCTCTGATGAAGCTTTATTAAGGTGAAACATGTTAGATTAAGATATGTTTCCTACTTGTTCTTTATTCTATCATTTTGTTGACCGTTTACATGATGTTCCCTTGATGGAGTTGAAATTGATTCCATTGAACCTGTGATAATGGTGGAATTAAAAACCAGTTGTGTAACTAATAAAAAACTCAGTAATAAAGACAAAATATATCTCCCTAATCCCTGACAACTTAACTAATTATTCAGATTACCAACTCACTAAACAGCAAATGGAATTACTTAACCTTGTCCATTTATATATATATATATATATATATATAATGAAGTATTGTACAAATGATATGAACTGTCGCTTAAATGGTCAATATTTGATGAACAATATTATATACAGTCTGGTAAAGAACAAAAACTTTATATTGGTTCATCTGAAACAGAATGGAAACAAACATTTTACAACCACAAACTAAGCTTAAGTAATGATAAACACAAAAATAATATAGCTCTCTATAAACATTACTGGCAAATAAAGGCTCATAGAGTCACACCAGAAATTACATGAGAAATAATGGCAAGAACTAATTCTTAGAATGGTAAAGACAAAAAATGTAATCTTTGCCTTCTAGAAAAATGGACCATTCTAAAAATATAAATAACCCGAATTTACTAAACAAAACAAATTAATTCATGGTCACATGCAGACATAAAAATAAATATCTCTTGAAAAATGTTGAACCTGGATTTCCATTTAAGCCTCATATGGTCATATTTTTATTTTATTATTTCTTAAATATCTATATTCATTTATTTACATTTTCTTTATGCCCTGATTTAGATGTATGAATGTATATTTGCTCATATGCATAAGTGTATTCCTATTTGTTTGTATGTAAGTCTATGTCATATATCCTGAACATGATGCTTAATGCCGATTTTATTGTTAAGTCACTTGAACTTTTCTTAATTCATTGAATACTATTGCTCTAGTTATCAATTCAGCGTTTTTTGTTTGTTTTGGTGGGGGGGGGGTTGCAGCAGAAGTTCTGCTAACCTGAAAAAAACATGTAAAATTCACATAATTTTGATGCATTTTCACAGTGTGTAATAAAGGGTGTTCCAATAATTTGGGCCAATTTTAAATGTGAATTAAGTTTAAGCGTCTAACGATATTTCTTTTTCATTCTGATTTGTCAGCCATTTGGGTGATATTATTTTTCACACATAATTGCCATGACTTAAATAACATAACATGATCCAATAGAGAAATAAAGAAAATTTTCCCCAATAACACTGATTTAATTACTACTGACTTTGATCCGTCTGAATGAAACACCCTTTATTATTATTATAAAATACATATAATATTAAATATATATATATGTGTATATATATATATATATATATATATATATATATATATATATATGTTATAGCTAATATTAAATATTTATATAATGCTAAAACTCTTGCATGTGTGTGTTTTCCTGAGATACAGCTTAAACGATACATAATACACCAAGCAATTTAGGACCATATTGCATCTAGCATGAAACAGACTGTCACCTCTAAGTGTTGACTTCTATGTTCACTTTTACATTTACACACGCTCTATCCCTGATATTGAGCACTTTATCCCATAAATATAGCACATCTTAAGACTATATATATATATATATATATATGAACATGTAGCTTAAATGAGTCTCTATTACTAAGATGTCACTTGTACAATTCAAGATACCGCTGGTTCAATCCGCTGTTCTTGCTTTCCTAACACTTCAAAGCATAAAATCCATCTTCCCTTCTCACTGCTTCAGCCTTCTTTTATCAGGCTAACACTGCAGTTGACCAACCAATCAGCGTTCTTCACTTTTATTCTCAGTTATCCAGCTAAACTAAATAACAAGATATTAGCAACTATAAATGCATCTGCATATATAGATGAGTAAATAAATATTTATTTAAGGTATAAACAAAACAGCATTCAATGTAGTTAAACAAGGCTATAAAGTATATATTAATAAATACACATGTACCTACTTTTGTACTGCAACTCAGAGATTCATGGTTATCCAATTCATCAGGCACAAATAGTACATTTGCCATTTGATGAATTGGATAACTAGGAAACTGAGTTGCACTACAAACATAGGTATATGTGTATTTATTAATATATATATATGCGTGTCATTCACAGACAGTACTGTTTTGCTGTATCACAGCTCCTCAGTGCAACTAGACATCCAAAAGCCTCAAGCCAGGATCAAAACCCGACCGTCTAAGTTTCTACCCCTATGCCATCATCACCCGGCAGAAAGAAACTGCTAATTCTAACATATTGTTTTTTATGAATGTAAACAAATGCCAGTTAGTCAGCGTGCTTGTATTCATTTTACCAAAGAGCTTTGCATTTTAGCATAGGCGGCTGGTGTTTGTAGAATTAGGTTGTCTCTCAAGATTTTTATATATATATATATATATATATATATATATATATATATATAGAGAGAGAGAGAGAGAGAGAAGCTGGAGCAGCTTGCCAATTGCTACTGCAGATGCCAATATTGACTGCAACTATGCTGAGGAGACCTTAGTTACAGTTTCTGGGAAAGAGCACATAATCTGTTACGTTGGTTTTTTTTATTCATCCAAGTTCTAAGTATTTATTGTATTTTTGCTAATTTTCAAATAAGTTGTTGCATATATAATTTCAACTATCTTAGTCATTACCATAAAATGTATTTTTTCTTTTTTTTACAATGACGTTCACCCTGTACAAGGTTCAAAAACCACTCAAGGTAGAGGAAAAGGCATAGTTTATGGTGATTATGTTGGAAAGATAACAGTTAACACTAGACATGAACAGGTTAAAGTTGTAGTGAGCAGAGAAGCATCTTCTTGGGAGTTGATTCCACAAAACAACGGTTAGGGAGAAGCTGCTTGAGTAGAATTTACATCTCAACAATAGAATATGAAGGGAATGAAGGTGGTTCACTACAGGGTACATGGTATGGCTGGTCTTAGCCGTGAAGGTAAGAAGGGTACACAGTATGGCTGTGAAGGTAAGAACTGATGCAACTACAGAGTACATGGTATGGCTGATCTTAGCTGAGAAAATAAGAATGGTATATGGTATGGCGTGTCTTAGCCGTGAAGGTAAGAACAGAAGCAACAACAGGGTACATGGTTTGGCTGGTCTTAGCCATGAAGGTAAGAAGGGTACATGGTATGGCTGGTTTTAGCCGTAAAGTAAGAACTTATGCAACTACAGAGTACATGGTATGGATGGTATTGGCTGTGAAGGTAAGTAGGGTACATAGTATGGCTGGTCTTAGGTGTGAAGCTAAGAACTGATACAACTACAAGGTACATGGTATGACTGGTCTTATCCGTGAAGGTAGGAAGAGTTTATGGTATGACTGGTCTTATCCGTGAAGGTAGGAAGAGTTTATGGTATGACTGGTCTTATCCGTGAAGGTAGGAAGAGTTTATGGTATGACTGGTCTTATCCGTGAAGGTAGGAAGAGTTTATGGTATGACTGGTCTTATCCGTGAAGGTAGGAGGAGTTTATGGTATGACTGGTCTTATCCGTGAAGAACTGATGCTACAAAAGAATGCTTCTGAGCACTTTTCATGGAAGTAGCCATAGAGCAGCGAGCAATGTTTCATCTGTGAGGAAAGGGGTTGTAGAATGGAAGGACGCAATGACATTTTTGGACTCTATTGAGATTGGCAAGGGAAGACTATGATGTCAGTATGACAAAATTAATTAATTCAACCTTGGCAGCTGAATTTAAGGAAACTCAGTTCTATGAATCCTTGTATCAAAATTTAAATGACAGAAATACTCACCTTGTAAACTAAAGTGCCACCAATTATAAATATTTGTTCTGCTTTGTCCTTCAGAGGACCATTTCGGATCATGTCAATTGCTTGGTCTAGATTTCGGGCCAAAAAACATCCTGGAGGTGCACAGCTATTTGGAAAGAAGTTTGGAAAAATAATAATAAAACTGATGCAATATATTTAAAGATGTCCCCATTAGGCTAACAGTTTCTTTTTTTTTTTAATCATTTCACCTTAAACAAGGCAATAAAGCCACTAAGACACAAGGATCTACTAAGTGCCAGAGAAGAGGAGAAAAAAAAGGACCCAAAGAGTGTGAGTTCAATACCCGGTTAAGGCAGTGGAGAATTTTTAGAGGGGAATTAACAGGAGATAACTGATAACTGACATCCATTAAACATGGCACGTGGAACTAGAACAGTCTACTCCAGTGAGCGAAATAAAGGGTTCAGTTCGACATTCCAACCACTTGAAGGAGGCCGGAGCATACAATGGTCGAAACGTTGTAATAAATAAATAGTGAGCAAAATATAACTATGCCAGATCAGTCGATCTAGCACAGTCTAACCACAATAAAACAAAAATCCCACTATTCTTTACAGGTAGTTGTAGTTCATGTGACGATCATCGACAAACAGATGTTTCAGCAGAGAGAACGTAGCAGTTTCATGGAAGATCATCCTGCAGGACAACCCAGAAGGTGCATTGCTCCAGTTAAGCGGAGAACTATAATACATCTATAGTTGCAGCGCACATAGATGTCATTAGCCATCAAAAGATTTAAATGACGAGTCAGAAGAATCCGAGAAGAATTCTCAACCTGATGATGATGAGGTACCACTTTTAAATTTAATCATTTTTTCTTTTAATTATATGTTTGGGTATATAGTCTAACTGGTCTCATTTAGTTACTTTTTCTTTTCATTTATACTTTTATAACTATTGTTATTAAATATCCCAGATTTGGGGAAAAAAGAATCGATCTTGTAAGAACCTCATCACAAATTTATTGTGGATGATTTAGCAATAAAAGCATTTTCTAAAAAATATGATGTCAGTAAAATGCTCTCTCAATTAAAATACCATTTTATGCATCAAGAGAACATGCTAAATGCATTAATGTAATTGTATCAACATAAACAACATTTTAATCTGATAAAAAATTATAGAAAAGGAATGAAAATAAAAGATATTTGGAAAGAAAGAAAAAAGAAAGTGAGAAGAATATGAATAAAACTGAAATAAAGACAGAAAAAAAAGAGAAAAAAAGAGACAAACAGATACACAAAAAAGAGACAAACATATAGGCAGAAAAAAAAGAAACATATAGACTGAAAAAAGAGAGAAACATTTAGACAGAAAATGGAGAGCAAAATATAGACAGAAAAAAGGGAGAAAAATATAGACAGAAAAAAAGGGAGAAAAATATAGACAGAAAAAAAGGGAGAAAAATATAGACAGAAAAAAAGGGAGAAAAATATAGACAGAAAAAAAGGGAGAAAAATATAGACAGAAAAAAAGGGAGAAAAATATAGACAGAAAAAAAGGGAGAAAAATATAGACTGAAAAAAAGGGAGAAAAATATAGACTGAAAAAAGGGAGAAAAATATAGACAGAAAAAAGGGAGAAAAATATAGACTGAAAAGAGAGAGAAACATATAGACTGAAAAGAGAGAGAAACATATAGACTGAAAAGAGAGAGAAACATATAGACTGAAAAGAGAGAGAAACATACAGACTGAAAAGAGAGAGAAACATACAGACTGAAAAGAGAGAGAAAACATACAGACTGAAAAGAGAGAGAAAACTACAGACAGAAAAGAGAGAGAAAAATATAGACAGAAAAGAGAGAGAAAAATATAGACAGAAAAGAGAGAGAAAAATATAGACAGAAAAGAGAGAAAAAAAATATAAGCAGAAAAGAGAGAAAAAAATATAAGCAGAAAAGAGAGAAAAAAAATATAGACAGAAAAAAGGGAGAAAAATATAGATAGAAAAAAGAGATACATATAGGCAGAAAAAAAGAGAGAAACATATAGACAGAAAAAAAGAGAGAAACATATAGAGAAAAAAAGAGAGAAACATATGAAGAGAAAAAGGAGAGAAACATATGAAGAGAAAAAGGAGAGAAACATATACGCAGAAAATGGGGAGAAAAATATAGAGAAAAAAGAGAGATACTTATTCAGAAAATGAAGAGAAAAATTTAGACAGAAAATGGAGTGAAAAATATAGAGAAACATATAGAGAGAAAAAAGAGAGAAAGATATAGAGAGAAAAAAAGAGAGAAAGATATAGAGAGAAAAAAAGAGAGAAAGATATAGAGAGAAAAAAAGAGAGAAAGATATAGAGAGAAAAAAAGAGAGAAAGATATAGAGAGAAAAAAAGAGAGAAAGATATAGAGAGAAAAAAGAGAGAAAGATATAGAGAAAAAAAGAGAAAAAAGAGAGAGAAACATATAGAGAGAGAAAAAAGAGAGAAAAGAGAGAAACATATAGAGAGAAAAAAAAATATAGAGAGAAAAAAAAGAGAAAAGAGAGAGAAAAAAAGAGAAAATATAGAGAAAAAAAGAGATAGAGAGAAAAAAAAGAGAAAAATATAGAGAGAAAAAGAGAAAAAAAAGAGAAACATATAGAGAGAAAAAGAGAGAAACATATAGAGAGAAAAAAGAGAAACATATAGAGAGAAAAAAGAGAGAAACATATAGAGAAAAAGAGAGAAAAAGAGAGAAAAAAAAAAAAAATATAGAGAGAAAATAAGAAAAAAGAGAGAGAAACATATAGAGAGAAAAAAGAGAGAAACATATAGAGAGAAAAAAAGAGAGAAACATATAGAGAAAAGAGAAAAAATAGAGAGAAAAGAGAAAAAATAGAGAGAGAGAAAACATAGAAAAAAAGAGATAGAGAGAAAAAAAGAGAAAAAAGAGAGAAACATATAGAGAGAAAAAAAGAGAGAAACATATAGAGAGAAAAAAAGAGAGAAACATATAGAGAGAAAAAAGAGAGAAACATATAGAGAGAAAATAAGAGAGAAACATATAGAGAGAAAAAAAGAGAGAAACATATAGATAAAAAAGTTAAAAACGTACACAAAGAAAGAACAACCCAGAATGAAGAAAAATAACCTAAGTAGAAAAAAGAGAGAATTAGAGAGAAAATAAAAGGAAAAAGAAAAAAAGAAATAAGGAAGAAGTTAAAAAGTAAAAAGAAAAAGCAAAAATGAAGGAAACAGGGGAATTAAAAAGAAAGAAAAAACAGGAAGAGAAAAAATGAAATGAGGAAGGAAGGAAAACAATAAATGACTGATGAAAAAAAAAAAAATCAAAAATGAAAAGAAAAAAATTCTCCACATATATATATATATATATATATATATATATATATATATATGAATTCAAACGAAATTTTTTATTTACCTTAGATTTCTACTCAAAATAATATTGAACCGATTTCTAAGTGGAAAATATTTCTTTGGAATACTTTCATAAGTCTTTCTTCCCATAATTACAGAATTCATTTTCTCTGAAATAATTTAAAATAAAAAGAAAGAAAGAAATTTTTCAATTATTTTTTTGTAGAAAAAAAAAAAAAAAGAAATATTGAAAAATAAAAATGTAAATTTAATTTTCAACTCATATAAGTCAGCCATGAAACACAATATCCCTTTTAAGAACATCTATATTAATGAATAATCAAAGGGAGACTACTCTGTAATTAGCCAAGCACCTAATCTATTTAACATTTAATGTTAGTTTTACTTATATTCTTCCTAATCCTTAATCAGCAGTAATCTACTATTAAATGAATTTTTGAATATACAAGGTAACCAAAAAGACCTTGCTGTTTTTGATTTATTGGAAAAAAATGGTTGACATACCATTAGTATTCAAAGTAATTTCCATTGACATCCAGGGCATTGCACAATATTGCTAAATAAAGAATGTCACTCACTGTTGCTTGTTGGCTATCAACACTGTATTGTGGTACGGTGCAGGTGAAGTCAGAGTGTTTCATCTAAAACCTGGAACTGTTCAGCAAGCTCACCACAGGTTTGGTAGTGGCCCACCTCTATGTCTGCATTCAGGAGCTCAGCATCCAGGACTTGTGGGTGGACACTGCATCACAAAGGGACAGATCCCCTGGCCTGAACTTCTGGAATCAATGCTTGGTGGTGTGTTCACTCATAGAATTATCCCCAAAGGCTTGACATATTCAGCGACTTGATGCAGACAAGCCCACTTTAAAATTATTAAGCAGAAAACCTCAAATGAGCTGCTTTGACACCGCCATGTTTCCTCCCTGCTGCTCGAGCTATGACTGATGTGTGTGCACAAGACACCTGCTTTGATCAAGAAAAATGCCTCCACTTCCCACCGCTTTCCTGGTACCTAATCTACTCATTTGAGTATCAGTGATCACTTCTTCCTACACAGTGTAAAAAAAAAAGGCTTTTTTGGTTACCTTATACATACAATTTAGAAAAATTTTCTCTCATTTTTGTGATTAAGTATTGAAATGTTTGTGATATAAGAAGAAAAAACGAACTGAAAAGTATATTTTTAATTATAATTTTTGCAAAAAACAACAGTATACATTAAACAATAATATATTTACAGTAGAATCCCTGATAACCGGACTAAGAACGCCTTCCGGATATGAGGAATTGGTGACAAAGTCCGGATATGAGGGGTTATATTTAGATTAAAATAAAAGAACTGAAATCAGGTTTAACATTTATTCTCAAGGTTTTATAGTAAACAAAATAAGCTAATGGTGAGTGAAATATAACAGAATTTAAAATTTCCACTTTTTGCGATAACTCCAAAGTTGTTGTTTTCCTCTTATTCTCATCATCTTTTGCACCAACACAAGCCATTAGGGTGAAATAAACATAAGCAATTATCCAAAGTAAGAAATTTCAAATAAGTTACATATCACCCAAATAGTTCAAATATACACATCAAAATCATGTCCGGATATGAGGGATTCCGGATATTAGGGATTCCGGATATGAGAGATTCCGGATATGAGAGATTCCAGACTTGAAGGATTCTACTGTATTAAAAAATTTATAAATAAAAATATGTAATAAAATTGCACACATATACATGCAGACATACACACACCACAGATATTTATGTATGTGAGTGTAGATATAATAGCAAAGGAAATTAGAGAGATAAAACAACAGAAATAATAATATTGATAATAAAACTAATAATATTTTTTAGACAGCCTTTTGATTAAATGAAAGCCTGATGAGAAAGATTTTAAAAATCAGAATATCCAGATATGCCTGTGTCCTTTCTCAATAAAACAAGAAATAAAAATTGAAAAATGAACTGGAGCTTTCTTTTTGGGGGGAATTTGTGTGTGTGTGTGTGTATATATATACACACACACACACACACACACACAGGTAAAAATCCTTGATAAGTAATCCAAGTGAATCCTAGTAATATAAAATATTAAAACAAATCCGCATAAAAGCACAATGTATTTATTACAGAGTGTATATGAATTACATGTAGATAAAATTCAATACCCCATATAATATATAGCTATTTCACCCAGAACAGGCTTGTCAACACCAAGGAGTTCGATAAAAAAAAAAATGAATCATAATGTTTTTGTAAATAAGAAGAAAGAGAGAGGAAATTCATCAATAAGAGAAAATGTATTTAAAATCTGAGGTGGAAGAGAAAGATAAAGAGAGAAAAAGAGAAGAATAATAAATACTTTATCTTTTCAAATGGGCATATATTATATGGGGCATTGAATTTTATATATATATATATATATATATATATATATATATATATACACACACACACACACTTACAAAATAATGTTATCCTTATTTCATTTGTACCTTTATTTTATTCAGGCAATTAGTATCTTTTCCTTTTTTTCAGCTTGTGGAAGGGGATTATCTCCCTTTTATTACAGGGTGAATTTACTAACATTTTGCAGGTTACGTGTCAGTGCACAAGTAATGATAGCCTTTGGGTGACATTTGACAATTGCTGTGTGGACCATGAAGAAATGGCTGACTGATTTTTCTGTTTAACGACATATCAACTCCTTATGGGTCATTTAATGCAGAAATTTAATTTTCTTGGAAGCTTGAAGTAATAAAATTATGATATGTGTTATTCTGCTTTCACAGTTGAATACATGGTAGATAATACTCAGCTTTTGTGCATATACATGTCTGTGTGCTCATAATTACTAGAGGCAGTGATATATGTTTTATATGTGTGATATGTGTTTTATATAGTATTTTGGAATACAGTTTGAGTTCTTTAAGAAATTGTACAATATTATATGGATTAATGTCATGAAAGAGTTCTTTCATGTTGAAAGTTTGGTTGGTGGCTTTCGTTTTGTGGCATATCAACACCTCTATGGGTTATTTAATGCTGAAATTTAAATATTTTGCACACAATTATGCCTTCAACTAAATATGTTTTGAACGTAATTGTATACCTTCAACTACTGATAAAATGTATTTTCGGTCATTTTGCTATAAAATGTATTGTTGGTAATTCTGCTATAAATTGTGTTGTTGGTCATTTTGATTTAAAAATATATTGTTAGTAATTTTATTATAAATAACTATTGTTGGTAACTTCCCCATAAACATGTATTGTTGGTAACCTTGCTATAAATATGCATTGTTGGCAATTTTACAATAAATACTATGTATTGTTTGTATTTTTACTATAAGACCCTAACAGGTGATACCACCCCAGATCAGGGTGGGCCTGGGAACAGCAGCAATTAAAGATGGCTTCACACTCAACAATATGTCCAATCAAAAGCCTTGCTGTTAGATGTAGTTTATTGTCATGCCCAAGATGGGATCATGAAACAGATATATGTGATAACAAGGCTATGGTTATGAGAGGCTGAAAGCCAAATGACTTTAATAAGAAACATAAAAAATATAGCAGTATCCCTCCCCAAAATATTACAAGATCTTCATATTCATCCTTTCATGTACTACTACTTGCTTTATTCATATGTGCTGTAATTTCTCTGTGTGGGACAAACTATCATCTGACATCTCGGCTTCAGTCATTTTCCCATGGCCATAATATAGCTTCTGTATAGCTTTTTCTATAAATACTTTCATGTTAATTGTTCTGATGAACTTTCCTTTATGGCACCTAGACTTTATGAATTTAAATGCAGTACTAGATTGGCAGCTAGGTCTCATCATTCTACAGTTGAAATGGCTAAATGTAAGTTCTATGCTAGCAGTTTCTTTCTCACTTGTAAAATTCTCTTCCTGCTTCTTGCTTCCCAGTCAACTTTGATCTTCAAAAATTTAAATATAAATTATTATCTTCTGTCTTCTTAATTCCTGTTCTTTTCATTATTTGGACTATTGTCCTCATCTTTGTCGCCATATTTATTACGTTTCAGCTGTTGTATGCTCCAGCCTTCTTCAGGTGATTGGAATGTCGAAGTGAACCCTTTATTTCACTCACTGGGGTAGACTGTTCTAGTTCCACATGCCAAGTTTAATGGATGTCAGTTATCAGTTATCTCCTGTTAATTTCCCTCTGAAAGATCTCCACTGCCTTAACTGGGTATTGAACTCACACTCTTTGGGTCCTGTCACTGGCTCTAACTAATGCCTTTATCCACTGTGCCATGTGTCTTCGAGGACAATAGTCCGAATAATGTAAATAGTGTACATAATACCTCATCTCAGAAATATAGACAGATCCTGTTCTTTTATTGTTTTCTCTTTCAAGAATCTGCAGTATTATTGATCTTGGCCTGGCATCTCAGCTTCAGTTAATTTTCCACCATCATAACGTAGTTTCCCTGTGCCTTTTCTATATTTTCATGGTAATAGTTCTGATGAGCTTTTCTCTTTGGTAAGTAGAGTTTATGAATATAAGCGCAGTACTAGATTGGCAGAAAGGTCTCATCATGTTACAGTTTAAATGGCTAGATGTAAGTGTAAGGTCTATGCTAACAGTCTCTTTTCTCTCACTTCTCGCTAAACTACAACAGGAGATTACAAAGGTTGGTTAAAACTACAATCCATAGAAAACTGAGCTACAAGTCTTTGACCATGATGCTACCATCAAAGAGAAAGTAAGTGGCCAAACATTGAAAACTATTGTGGTGAATTGGCAACCAGTCTACTGCAGAAAGAAATAACAGCCTATTACAGGAAAAATCTGCCTCTTCAGTCATGTATCAAAAGATACATAATCAACTAAGTGTGTATCACGCATGGCACATGACTGATTGAATTAAACTTTTGACCAACTAATATTTCACCTAACTTCCCAATATTCAAATTTTCCCTATTAAATGCTAAAAAAGTTTTTAATTTTTATTTTTCCTTTTCTTATTTCTATTTTTCGAAGCTCTACCCAAGTAAGTGGTTGAGTCTAACAACACAAAAGACATTTTTTTTTCTTTATTTTTAATGGCCTGAAGATTTTGACCAGCAGTGTATTTCTGTCTGCGGTTAAATATTTCTTACAACCAATTGCAATTTTTGACATTTGGAAATGACTATCAAAAAATATGCTCTTTTATATATTTATGTATACTGTATATAGTCGCATATCATGCCTAATTTTGAAGCTAATTTTAAGGGGGTCACATCATACATGAGATATAAAATTAATGTATGTACTGCTGGTCCTGGTTCACCATTGATCAAAGTATATATCCAATAACTGTAGTCAAAAACTTCAGCTGTGTTTAAAATAAACATGATTTTGATCTGATGTTTTACTTAACTGTATCCAATAATAATGCATGTGATATTCACATATTATCATATCAAAAAATACAAACATATGCATCTTTTCCATTGATTACGTTTATAACATGTTTAGCTGTTTCTTGTTCGATTGTTTATGGCTGTACACATTTACACAATGAGTATAATGTTACTAACAACACTTTTATCATTCTCTTTTACTTTTTTTGTAGGGTATTTTCTATTTTGTTTAGGGTATGGTCTTAAACTTTTGACCGACTAGTATTTAGCCTAATTTCCCAGTATTCAAATTTTCCCTATTAAATGCTAACAACGTTGATTTTTTATTTTCCTTCAGTATCTGTCTATATTTCTGATACGAGGTATTATGTACATTATTTACATTATTCAGACTATTGTCCTCATCTCTGTCGCCATATTTATTACGTTTCGGCCATTGTACGCTCTGGCCTTATTCAGGTGGTTGGAATGTCGAACCAAACCCTAGTTCCACGTGCCATGTTTAATGGATGACAGTTATCAGTTATTGCTTGTTAATTTCCCTCTGAAAGTTCTCCACTGCCTTAACTGGGTATTGAACTCACACTCTTTGGGTCCTGTCACTGGATCTAACCAATGCCTTTATCCTTGAGGACATCTGTGTATGAATTTCTGGGTATTATAAACCTAATGTCTCAGCAATCATTTTTTACCAGTGCTCATATTGCAATTTTTGCTGTTATCATTGCATGTTTTTTACCAGAGTTCATATTGCAACTTTTCTCTGGCACTCCTTATTGCTGGTTCCGATATTGTATTTATTTTTATGCTTGGTCGGCCCAGGAGATATTTGTGGCCTAGCATATGTGCTGATTCCTTAAGTTTACAAATTTTCTAATGGTGTTCCTTATCTATGATCTCAACCTGATCCGACAGGAGTGGGGGTGATCTCCCTTTTCTTTCCATATGTGGTCAGCCACGCCTGATTTTTCTACTTCCCTTTGTGTTACAGCTTTCTGGTGTTTTATTTTCCTTATTTTCATTTTTTGAAGCTCTACCCAAATAAGCGGTTGAGTCTTTATTTTCTATGGCCTTAGGATTTTGCCCAGTAGTCTGTTTATTCGTTTGATTCATTCATTCATTTTTTTATGACTTATCAACCCTTTGTAGGTTATTTAAAGCCAGAAAATATTTTTAGATTATAACAGTTTTCGTGGGGAGATAATGGTTACTGATACAAGTCTTATTAATTAACCCACATCTGGAGAGAGAAGGGGGGGGGGGTCATACCTTTCCTGAGGTTATTTGCGTATAAGGGAATTTCTGCGATGCCAACACTTGTTGACACTTTTGTGATGTCAATGAATATTTGTTGTCGCTTCCGTAATGCTCGTTGAAGTAGAGGCTTTGTAATCGCAGATACAACTATAGTAACACTGTTGAACAATACTGGTGTCAGATGCCTTTGAATAACACTTGCACTAATAGTACTTGCTCAATAATACTCGCTCGAAAAATAACTACCAAATAGTGAACAGTATAGACAAATAGTATAGTGAATAGTATAGAGAATAGTGATTTGTATAGTAATGGAGGATAGAATAGAAATAGTGATCATTTAGATGCCATGCTAATTCCCATATATACATTTCTTTGTGATCACATGGTCTGCTTATTAGAAATGGAATCACTTATGTTTGCTCACTGGTGAACTATTTGCAGCGACACTTTATTCCTATACAACATGAATATAATGAACATAATGGGAATTGGCACAGGTTTTGCACTAAATAAGCTGCACAAATAGTTTAATAGAAACATTGAAATAAAATAAGTTCATAAGAGTCTGTATATTTTTTTTAAATCTATGGTTTTCTTTTCTAACATTTAAATGTATGCTCAGGTGTACAAGAAAGAACTCCTATTGTGGCAGCATAAAGGATGCCTGTTGGCATATCCTGAAAAAAGAGCTTGGCCCACCCAAGGGTTTGATTTCTTTGATGGCGATTGAACAAGAGCACAAGAAAAAGGTCCAGCCAGTGCTCGAATATTGCAAATTAAATGAATTTGTAGAGGCATTTACTGCTAATGTGGACATGCATGTGCAGAAGCTTAAAGAATGGCGACAACAAGGAGCCGAAATAGCTTGCATGAAAATTGGTCAGAATCATTCAAAAAAAAAAAAAAAAAAATACACACAAGTTCAATAGTTCCAACAGGCAAATCAATTCCACAATTATCTTCATTCCTCAAACTCAAGTACGTTATTCCTCCTCAGAAATGAGACTCCTTTTGAATGAGCATACCATGCTTTTATGCATCTGACCAATTGCTCAATCAATGAGTGTGAAGAACCAGTCAATAAAAATAGCTACAAGTGACACCAACACTTCTGACAACAGAAAATGCTACCCGATTCACCTTCGGTCTGAAGCTCAACAATTCGCTATCTCCACACTCCATTGCAAAACATGCACATTACTCTGGCCCTTTTGGGTCATTCAGGTAAGTCTCTGCTACATAAATATACCATGATATTTTCATTTGCTCCTAGGTGTTCTATTTCTTAAAAAGGTTGAGAAACACTGCATCAGACAAAGGAATTAAAAGAGTTTCTTTTTGAAGGCTTTTAAAGGTAGCAATCAGCTACTTCTACACACCTTCCCTAAGCCAATCATATTGGAGCCTAATTCACTGCATTATGCAGGTTCACTATAAGTTGAGGAAAGTTTAGCAAGAAATAAATACCTGAATTCTCTGTTTTACTGCTGATCTCATCAAAATATGCCATTTCTTTCCTGCAACAAATAACAAATATTAATTTTCAGATTTTTTTCCTCAAATAGTGCAGGCTTGCTTCACTATTTGGGGACAGTGGTTCCCAAATAGTGCAGCAGCGCCTCATAGGTGAGGCAGAAAAGGATAGCAGGTAAGGTGGAATGATTGAAAGAAAATCAAAGATTTAGAAACAGTTTCAAAAAATTCATATGCCAAATATTATGATTTCAAAATTTAAAATATTATTATGGTTTACTTGTAATTGCATGCACGAGTACCAGCATAAATAGTTATAAATAATTACCAACCGATTTTTATCACTGGGATATTTTTGCATTATATCAAGTATTAAGAATATAGTAACTAGGGTCTGCAAATTAGGGGAGAGAGTTATCAATGATAATGTTTTGACTTCGAATCCACAGTTATCTCCCTTTTAACCCTCTCTGTTTTTTTTTTTATTTTTAAATGTACTTTTTTATCACATAAAATTAGGTGAGGGACAAGTAAATTTTAATAACAAAAATGCAGCCCAGAGAAAAAAAATAGTTTGGGACCCACTGTTATAGAATGTTGTCCATCACACAACAATGTTTTAATGTGTGTGAAACAATAAGGTTTGTGTTCAGTTGGGTCAGCAACTTTTTGTAATTATAGATACAAAAGAAAACTGTCCAAACATTGTCTTTTTAAGTTTCCATTGTGTACATGTCGAGATAACGTGACAAAGTGGAAAAGCTGTTCAGGCAACATGGTTAACTCTTTACAGCAGAAGTCAAGTTGGAATGAGAGACAAACCCATGTGTAAGGAAAAGTGTGTCCGTCACCCTAAAATTGCAGTAAGAGTTGGGCAAGCAGGTTAGAATAGAAAGAAACACAAATCAGGGGAGAAAACCATATATATAGTCGACTCTCCCATCGAACTCGACATATGAGGGCCAAGCAGATCAGTTTCCAGGAAACCGACTGCCCAACACCAGCACATGAGATTTAATTATAGTGGTGAAGGCTTCGTGCAGGACCATCCACACTTTTATATATATATTTTTAAAGAAAAACAGACCACTTTAAGGTTCCATTATAATAATTTATTTCACCAGAGCTTTTTTAAGGGACACTGGATCATCAGATAACACTTCCAAAAATGAAATGAAAGATGAAATAAAAATTCATAATTTTGACGGGTAGTATCAAGTTTATGTAATTTAACAGAGATGATGAGTCCCAAATATAGGACGAAATGGCCGTCCAGTGCTTTCTGCATTCTGTTGAGATTTCTCTCAGACTCAATGAATTACTTAAATATAATTATCAAATCCTCCTAATAATTTCTATCATGTACATTATTGCTTGAACCGGCTTATAATGCTCTAGAGTGAGTGGCTTGGTGAGAGTAGTCGTGGCTCCAGGGTGGCACAGTCCTATTGTTAGAGAGAACTCAGTAGAGTTCCACCACAGAATATGTGAGTGAGCGGCGAGTCTGATTTGCAATCTCTTCATCACCGAGGCCCAATGGAACAGTTGGTATGATGTTTGCTTGACAACCTAACTGTCAGGGTTTCAATTCTCGGTAGTAGATGCGCACTACTGATGAGTCCCAAATTATATATATATATATATATATAGCACACACACAAATTATAACACACATAACACCCACTCATATATATAACACATATATATACATTGTATGTATAACTGGCGACTCGTATTCAAGGATACCAGTCTACTAGGGCGGCTAAACAATCCCTATTGCAGACGCTTGTTCAGGCACATATGTGTTTTTTTAACACCCACAGAGCCCACCTGTGGTTTATACTGCAACTATGCTGAGCAGACTTTAGTTACAGTTTCTGGGAAAGAGTGTATTACCTAGTGTGATCAACACTTTGAATGAGGCCAGCACCCGAACATTCTAACCACTTGGCAACATGCCCAAATATATATATATATATATATAAATATATATATATATATATATATATTTTAATTATGCATATGTGTACAGTTAATTATATGAAAAGTATGTTTATTCATTAGTTGGTAGTATAATAAATTAAAAATTTGCACATGTACGAATATTTGTTTTCCCCACTGTGTGTGTTATATATATATATATATATATATACACATATAACATATATACACAAACATAACACACAAAGATACACACACATTTTATATAACATATATATTACATACATACATATATATATATATATATATATATATATATATTACAATAAATGCAATATTTACAAATACATGAATTATTCACACAAAACTAATGCAAAGGTTAATGATTTAAATGGCGAGACATCCATCTCAAACAATTCAAATAGTACACAAAACCTCCAGATCCGTTATGAATGAATTGATCCTTGTTTATATAAATTTCTGCCGTATTAGTTGTTATTTTTTACTACAAGCTTTCGTCTGTTCCTACAGACATCTTCAGGTATATAATAGATGTTGTTCTTGTTTTTTCTCTTAGTAATAAGAGGACATCGAAAATATATATGTACATTATGCTATTGAAAATGAGATAAACGCAAAAACAACGCTTGAGTTTGATTTTAAATTTTTTATAAACATCAAATATGGTAATTATTTTATAAATTTTTTACTGTCAAAGTGGCATGAACTATATTGTTCAATAGAACAGTAACGAAATTAACCAAAAGTCACACATGGATCAGATATTAAAATTACAATAAACGTGCAATCAATTTACAAATATTAAACAAGGATTTAAATGGAGACATCAATTCAAATATTCATAACGGATTGATCAACATTTATATAAATTTTTTGTTGTTAACTTATTTAACCACAGATCTTCAAGTATATTGTTTAATAGATGGATGTCTCAACATTTAAATCATTTTTGCATTAGTTTTTGTGTGAATATATATATATATATATATATATATATATATATATATATATATCCCATACTTAATTTTCTTTTTATTGTGTAGAAGTATTTCTTAAGACAATTTGAAGTTTGATTTTTTAATAGCATCAATTGTATTTTGACATCTGTGAATCTTTATTTTTTTTTAATTAAATATTAAACAATATTACATTTTAGGATTGGGTTCCTGGATCCTTCTAAAGTCTTCTGATTCTCTTTCACTCCCAGTAGCCTCTTGCATCTTAATGGCATTATTGCCTTGGGGGAAATTGATTTAAAAATATAAATAAATAAAACCAATAAATATAACTACTAACAGTGAGAGACATTTTGAGATTTGGTATCATGTTTTACACATACAAAGTTATGAGCGTAACAGATGTGACTCCTGATTCTGTCACTAGCAATGACAGACCTACGTCTTTCATCTTATTCAAGTGGACCATATGACGATATTAGAAATGTTGCCATGGCCAGTTTAAGTCATGGGATTGGGTTTAGATCCACATCAGTCATAGCTACTGCAACCCTTAGATGCAGGAATTATTAACAGAAAAAAAACATCTGCAATAATTGATAACAACAAAGTACAGAGGGCACAAGAAAAATTAATGAAAGAATTTGATGAAAAATTTATATTAAAATTTAAGGAAAAGTGAATTTTCTGTATCCTGTTTGACGAGCACATTCAAATGTAACAATTGAAGCAGAATCTGCCTATGTCTGTAAAATGAGGTATTATGATTATCATAATTCCCCATGTATAATACACATTTTTCTAAAAAATAATAAGCAAAATCAGTCTTATATGAGTATTGTATTATGCACAACTATGAGAAATCTTTAAAAAATTGCCATAAAATAAGAATTATCATAAAACTAAATGAGAATAATAATATTCTATGTTTAAAACCATTTTTTTAAAATAAGAGTAGGAAACACTGGTTGTAAGGAAATTGGAGAGGTACAATTTATAGGGTTTGATTATCAAACAAGGGGTGCGTATTATGCATGAGTAGAAGCATTTTCCCACACTTTCAGCACAATTTTAGGTGGTGGGAGCGTATTATAGATGAAGACATATTATACACGGGGAATTATGATACTTGCATTATTTACATTATTTGGACTGTTATCCTCATCTTCATTGCCATGCTCACATTTCGGTTGTTGTACGCTCCGGCCTTCTTCAGGTGATTGGAATTTTGAACCGAACCCTTTATTTTGTCCACCGGGGTAGATTGTTCTAGTTCCATGTGCCATGCCTCTTCCAGATGTCTCAGTTATTTCTCTTTAACTCAACTCTCCAAGTTATTTGGTTCACCTCTGCTCTGGTCTGGTACTGAGCTCATAACTCTTTGGGTCTAGTCACTGGATCTAACCAACATCTTTATCCACTTTATCCAGTGGATAAAGACCTTGAGGACACATGGCCAAAGTGTACAATGGCCAAAATGTTGTGAATATGGCAACGAAGATGAAGATAACAGTCCAAATAATGTAAATAATTGAAGCAGAATGTTGTGATAAAGCACATGCAGAGCCAGCAGAAATTAAAGGATATTTTTCAGTACTTCTCTGCATTTACCCTCTTGGGAATACCTCAAGCACCAGGCAATAAACTCAGACTCCTTCTAAAGGAGAGGTACTTCCTGAGGTGTAAGGTCCCTCTGATCTCCCCACTGAGATGGGATGTGACACAAGATCACGATTAACATGTCAAACCCGAGCTTGTACACCTGGACCAAGAACGAAAATCGGCCTGTCCTCACAACCATTGGTTGCACTGGCATTGGTATGACTACTGATCCTCCCCTCTTTAGTACAATGGGAGCGGGGTGTGACCTGAGGCAGTTGTTCCCCGGGACTGGGCACCTCACAGTATTTATTTTCCTCAGCTGTGTCTCTGAACCACAACTCAGTTGCACTCTGCTCAAAGACAGAGTCACAACAGATATCTGATAAACCCTCCCCAGCATGTCTCAAGTAAGTATAAATTAAAGAGAATTATAATCTTTTGAGTGAAATTGTAAGTGAATATTTAATTTCATTTTACACCACCAGAGGCAACAAAAGAGCTCAGTCATGCAGAACAAATAGCAAAAACTATTCATAATTGGCTGAAGGAAAGAAATTTTGACAACACTCTCTTGACTGCAGGAAGTGACCTATAAAAAGTGAACATTGATGTTAAAACAAGAGTGATGACTAAGTTTGTATAAAAACTTGTATGGTTGGTTTGTCTACTTCATACCAATAAACTTCCACTAAGACATCTTATTCTTATTGTCAATCTGGATGGCCCTACCTTTTCAAATAATAAAGTACTCTCTTAGCCAATAGGCAAGCTGCTTCCTTTAGTTATAGACATAGAGATCAACATACATTTTGACTTTTGAGCCTATTTGTGTTAGTCCTCCATTGATTGCATTACCAGAAGTAATGAAAGACTTATCTACTGATCTGCATTATGGCTATAGGATTGTAACTGCTATTCTAAAGGAAGTTTTGTGAACAAAATTAGGTTTATTTGAAGTAGGTCCACTTAACCACAGCAGATAGCTTGCAACCAGAACCAGCTCAAAGTACTAGCAACTCAGGCAGTCACCCGATTACTATCAAGGCTGTGAGTGTCATCATGTCACATGTTTGGGATCTTCCTAACAAAAAAGGAAAAATGTGAAAATAAAATGAAATAAAAACACCAAACTATTAAATTTCTTGAGCGGATAAAATTTTTGAGAATTAGATTATTCTGTCTGTTATGTTGTTGCAATCAAACACCATAACCGAAAACTGAATGAGCAGGCGATGTGAGTATATTTGTGGCCACTGGAGAAAGAAGCTTTTATAAACTATAGCTTTATAAAACATACTTATGTCAATGACTCAAGACAGATTAAATTTTTTGGTGTTTTAATCAAACACTATAACAGAAAAATGAACATGTGGGCGTTATTCTGCATTTTCAGTTTTTCTCCATGTGAAAATTTCTAAAAATTATACTCGTTTGTAAGTAAGCCGATGTTCAGCTTGTCCCTTGAGTTACAACAGACAATAGAAGACAAAGTTTATACATTTCAAAACATGGTCTACAAACAATATCTTGTAACAATTTGTAAATTTATCAGGAGTTTATTACTAATGTTGGTTTATAATCAAATTTAAGCATTCATAGATAAAAGCAATGTTTTATGACTTCAAAATGAAAACTCCTTCCTGTCAATTTAATTTAGTTTTGAAACATAGCAAAGTATTTTACTTATTGGAAATATCAAAAAAAAAATTAATCTATTAGCTTGAAATTAAAACTAAAATAAATACTTTAAGATTTTTAAAAATTCATTTTAAACCTTAGGTATTGCAAATTTGTTCGGGTACTTAAATTAAATATTACATTGTGGAATTTTCAGATTGAAAAAAAATATATAGCTTTTTTTTTTTTTTTTTTGCCATGTCAATATAAATAAAAACAACCACCACATTAACGACTTGAATTTTCAAAACAAACTGGTCACATTATGTAAAAATACAATTTTTTTTTTACATAGAATGTTTAAATAAAAAATTCAAGGGCATAATTTGACTTATATGAAGAAAATTTTTTTTTTAATTTCTCATGTAAAAACATATCTTGTACTATCAAACTGTCATAAAACTTTACAAAGTGTGGAAAACATATTTTTTTAAATTTCCATACTCAAATATTCTCCTATTCAAGAAATAAGTTATTTGAATTCCCCATGAAAAAATACACAAAACAGACCCTTCAAATTGATAAAATATTTTAAAAAATAATTTTTTTTTTAAATTATGATACACCCTATTGAATACTCTTCCCTATCGAAAGAATAATTCAATGACTCTTAAATTCTGCATAATTAAAAAATTCTTAAGTATAGAGCGCCCAATGAGCAGCGAACAGACTACTATAAACAAAAAAACTACTATACTTGCGGTCTTGTGCCACATCTAAACAATGCTTAATAATTAATAAAAATCACTAAAACACCCATGAGGTACAAAACAGTGATAATGTAATTAAAGACTAAAAAAGAAAAAAAAGAATTTAGGTAAAATTTGGTAACGGAAGATTCGGTAATTTTGCCAAAAAAAAAAAAAATGTTCATTGTTTATTTCGTTAATGTTTGTTTACAGACACTTCTTGTGGCTTTCTGCGCATTAAATAAAAATAATAATAAACACGATTAATGTTGCCGTAAAAGCACAAGTCTCAATATAACTAAAAAAAAAAAAAATATTTTTGCTTTTCAAAGACAAATAAAACTTGAAATTTAAACATTTATTGATTTTAAAATTTCAAAATTAAAGTCTTGCTTCTAAATTCCACCCAGCCCATAAAAATAGTAATTTCTCATTTATTTATTTAAAAAAAGAAACTTACAAGAAAAGACACGTTTTTTAAATCCAGATAACAACTTTAAATTTATAATTAACTTCAGCTTTATTGTTTGACGTTTGTGAACATGTTTTGCTCTTTTTCTAAAAAGGGGCTACTTTTCATTTAGGTAACTTTCTTTAAACATAGGTTGTGTTAAGTTAAATTGTTTTTTGTTGTTGTAAATTTTGAATGAATAAAGTTCTCCTCAAAGAAAAATTAAAAAAACATGAAGCTATAGTTTTGCTTCTTTAAAAAGAGAGAACTAAATTTAATACATTTTAAAAAGATACAAGAAGTTTAACTTGAGAACATTTAAAATAAAAATATTGAAGGGTGGGCTTTTAGTCCCCTAAACTCCGCATCCAGAAAGTACAGCCCTAGTATTGTAGTGAGGGTTTATCTAGCTAGACCCACATAGTTAATAATACTTTTTAAAAAAATATTGGGGAAGGAGGCCTAGCCCCCCTAAGCTCCCTTTCTGTAAGTACGGTTCTGGTATTGTTGTAATTCGGTTTTCCAGGACCCCACGATTTTTTTTCACTTTTCAGTTATTTTAAAAATATGTGGTGGGTGGGATTAGCCCCCAAATCCCCACTCCAGAACGGCCCTAAAAACAATTTTCAATCGACTTTTATTTCATAGTTACCGAATTTAATACCCATTTTAAAATCCGGTTTTAATTTTAAAACTTTAAATGAAATCTCTGTAGTTTCTCTTTCGCTATGCCATTTTTAAACGCCTACCGTCCCAACAACGGGACGGGAAGCATTTCATTTACACGGATTAAAATCAAAGTAGTCTTAAAAACGATTTCTAAAGAGTAACTTTAACGAAGATATGTCCTTATAAATGTTAAAATATCCAAGGTAACTAGCAGTGAGTATGTTAATAATGAAAATAAAGCTTTATTATTAAGTAAGTCGTATGACACAATGAAGAAAGTCCATCCATATGGTACGTACTGTAAAGGAAGGGTTCTTCTTTCTTTTAATCAAAGAAATATAGCAATGAACGTCGTACGGTAATAAGTTCTTTTTTTAATAAAAAATTAAAAAGAAAAAAAGATAATGCATAAATTATTGTTGGTACCTCCAATAATTCGCTGAAAAAAGGGCATAGCATAATGAAAAAGGCCCCAAACTTAACAAAGTTTTATCGTCAAATTGTTAATTAAGAGGAAAGAACAAATTTTTTGATTATTTTTCTTAAAAAATTCACTCCTTTCTAACACGATAAAAATTTTATTTAAAAATCTTTTTTTTTTTTTTCATGCGTCAACAATGGTACAGATCTGGTAATGGAAATTTTCACGCTTTCTTTTCTGGTAAAATAACAAATTTCGAAATTCTCGCAAAAATCAAATAATAGTTGGATTTTAATGAACCTTTCAAGGACTTATCCACAAATGAATTAAATTATTTTTTAAATTATTATTTTTAGAAAATCTCGGTAAAATAATATTTTATAGAAATTTCTAAGTAATTCCAATAAAAACACAACCGGTATTTTTTTTTATTTAATTTATCCTGTAGTGTAAAAAATCTGTTAGGTTATGACACGAATAATTCATCTTCTTACCAGAGTACAAATTGAATCGGGGTTTTGCTCGTAACACAGTTTATGGAAAAAGTCGAAGACAAATTAATAAATATTTCTTTTTCTTACTTCAAGTTCCACGGAAGTTTATTTTTGTAACCGATTCCTCTGTTGTTACACATCGCAGCGATCATATTTATCATTGGAACAACCGTCGTCATATCCTGGCAATGTCAGGCACGTGAATTGGTAGATAAATCACAGGATTTCGAATGCGGACACAGGCAATTTATGACAACCTATGAAAAACAAAAAAATTATAAAACTAAAAGTCCTTAACCATTCCAAAACTATGACATTTCAAAGGGAGATAATTCTAGTGCTACTATTTTGAAATTAATAAAATTTAAATTTATTTAAAAAAATTGAATAAATTAAAAAAAAAAAAAAAAATTAATTAATCTATATAAATAAATGCGAATGTCAATGTATCACATTTTTTAACTTTACTCCTAGGGGCAGTAGCCCAATATAATGCCAACATATACCATTCTGGAATCAGGCTGACCCCGTGATGAGCAAATTACAAATATTCCGGGTCGGATACGGACACACACTCCTGAAATTTTGAATTCCCAAGTTTTTATTTCTGCAATTGTTTTCAATAATTTTTTTACGTAACTTTTAGTGACGAATTTTTTTTTTTTTTTTTTTTGTACGATAAGAATTTTAATAACTTGGAAATAAATTTGGGAATAATCGAAATTAATTGCGAAATCCAGTGAAAGTCACCCATGAAAGAAAAAAAAAATTCTTGTACGGAAAGTAAGGACCTATCAAATTGTCTTTAAATTAAGTGGCGGAAGAATAACTATCGTTGAACTTTTAAAAGGTAAGCTTAAATATTATTGCAATACTTAAATGCAGGGATCAACTTTGAGTTATACTGTAGTTTATTGCTGCCTATTGCATACGGCAGCATTTCGCCTTGCAAAAAGAAATCTCCACTAACAGAAGACCAGATTGCAATCAAAAGAGCCAAGCCTGCATTGAGGAAAAGAACGTTTCGTGCAAATGAAAACCTAGATCAAACGGCAGCCAGGAGAGCTTCTGTAGCGGGCAGGTCCAGTGGCCCCGTATCACGGAAAGGGGTGAACGAGGTCACAAGAGGCCCGCTAACATTTTTGAAGACGTTAAATCTGACCGTGAAACAATATGGACGACAGAACGAGGATATATATGATATATAGAGGTTTATTCTAAAAGGAAAAGGAAATGAAGATGGTCGGAAACGGTGGAGGTGCAGGAGTGAGCTGGAAGCTGCAGGAGCGCTGGAAGGTGCAGGAGTGAGCTGGAAGGTGCAGGAGTGAGCCGGATGCTGCAGGAGTGAGCCGGATGCTGCAGGAGTGCTGGATACTGCAGAAGTTTTAGTGCAGGCATTGATGGTCGAGGTTGGCAGTTGCTAGGATCATCGTTGTTGGGGGTTGAAGCTGATGTGGGTTGTTGCCAGGATGATCGCTTGGTGGTTGTTGATGTTGAGTGATGCCAGGATGATCTTTGTTGGTTGTTGAAGCTGAGTCGTTGCCGGGGTGCCAACTTGTTGCTGTAGTTCGTGTTGCCAACTCGTTGTTTGTCATTGCCGGGGTGCCAACTTGTTGCAGCAGTTCGTGTTGCCAACGTTGTTTGTCATTGCCTGGATGCCAACTTGACGTGTTGGGAAGGAAGAGAAAGAAAGTTCCCAACTATCGTCAAGTTGGCAGACAAAGAGAAATGGGAGCGTAACTTAATACACAGCCCGTAGATCGGCGCCCTTGGCCAATGAAGGCCAAGGTGCCAAGGTGCCTGTGTAGACGACCGTTGCGGCCGACAGCCTCCCCAAAGCTTGGGAGAAATCACTGTCTTGTGTCGAGGGGGACCAGCAAGAGAAATTGGCTAAGCTAACCGAAAAGTCTCTATAAAAAAATACTACAAGGTTAACTAAAGATAACTATGGTCTAAAAATGACTAGATGTATATTACACCTAGGTTTGTAATATAGCCTAACTAAAAAAGGGGATTTGCTAGTCCCTCTGACGTGTTAACAGTGTGTGAGGAGTATGAATGAGAGGTCAAGGTCGAAAAGACCTGTTCCTCTGCTGGTTCAAGGACAGAAGGAGGAGGTAACTCCGACACTTCCAATACTGAGAATATGCAAAGACTTAGGGACTCCTGAACAAGCCAAAGGCCCAATTAAGAGCCGTCCACAGAAAGCTAGCTTAAATGCTGCCCGATAGGGTGGCTTTTTAAATAGTTATTTAATAAATTTATTAAAATACCTTTACTTATAATTTATTGAAAATATATTTCACAAGAATGCATGGCAATTCACGGATAATAAATAAAACTAAAATGTAGGTAATGAAGTAATGAGGGGAAAATGTCAAGGAAACGCGTTATATTTAACTTAACGAAGCAAGATAAGGAATTTATTTACAAATTTACACATTTGAAGTTATTAGTAGCTTGTTTCAGGAAAAGGAATTAAATATTTAAAGTTCGTAGTTTTGACGAATTGTCAAGAAGAGAAAATGTTCATATTAAATCATCGCACGAAAAGTAATATATGCCAGATGTTTAAAATAAATTGAGACTTCATTTTTCACATAAAAGTTATACGGTTATATTCAACATGAATGAAAAGATATATTTTAAGGTACTTAGCTTTGAAGTTGAATAGAATTCTTTGAAATTGCTCTGCTCTCATTAAAGGCTGATAATGTATCAGCATGTAATTAATTTGACACCAGCGTTATTCAGACGTGTGGACCGCTGGACTTTCTGCCTCCTGCCTCTTTCTGCTTTTTCTCACTGCCTTGATTCAACTTTCTCTATCTATATCAATAAGCAATTTCACATCGGCTCGTTACTTTTTTCTGTTTGTAAGCTGATCTCTTTTCTATTAGTCAAAATGAATTTTCACATAAGCTCGTTAATCTTTGCCTTGGTCTTCTCTTCGATCCATTTTTCCATTGGTCAAAATAAATTTTCACATAGGCTCGCGAATTTGAAAACAGTGGAGAAAAGAAAGTTATTATTTCATATTCACCATAATACCACCAAGCCAAGTATATGAATTTAAAAAAAAAAAAATAAAATAATTTTTAAAAATTTGCCAAAAAAAAATCGGAGAATTTTCAATATTTATTCATTAATGAATGAATTATATACAGAATAGGTTATTTTATAAGAAAATGTTTTATTTAAGGTTGGGGGCAGTTTCATCCCTGTTTTTCAATATCTCGCATCTTACCTGCGAAACACCAGACCAGGGTGGGTGGCGTCTTTTGGAGCCCCATTTTGGCCTCTGCCATTTTTCTTTTATTTTAAAACTGACATTACATTACAGTATTTACATTAGTCGGGCTATTGTCATCAACTTTGTCGCCATATTTGTCACAACGTTCCGGCCGTTGTACGCTCCGGCCTTCTTCAGGTGGTTGGAATTTCAAACTGAACCCTTTATTTCGCTCACTGGGGTAGACTGTTCTAGTTCCACGTGCCATGTTTGATGGATGTCAGTTATCAGTTATCTCCTGCTAATTTTCCCTCTGAAAGTTCTCCATTGCCTTAACCAGGTATTGAACTCACCTTCTTTGGGTCAGTCACTGGATCCACTGTGCCATGTGTCCTCAAGGACACATGGCACTGTGGATAAAGGCGTTGATTAGATCCAGTGACAGAACCCAAAGAGTTTCATCTCAGAAATATAGACAGACCCTGACATTACATTATCAGTCACTAATAATTTACATCATTTATCTTCCCGGCTGGTGCGGTACAGGAACCCTTAATGAGGTTGGAGCCCTAAATGGGCTAATTTTAGAAGCGTTTTTTGCTTTTTGTACTTTTTTCTACCGAAGCTATATTGTCAATCATCAACTATAATAATTGACAGGGCTGGTGCTTACTACCCCCAAACCTCTCAACCATGTGAGGGTTCCATGCCTACTGAGGAGGGGGGAGAGAGAGTAGAAGTGCTAATTTCAGTAGCGTTTTTTTTTTCTTTTTAAATTGTAATTTTCTTTCTGAACAGTTCTTTTACATCAATTAAGAGGTTAATAAATCTTGGTAAAATCATTTTTTTATTCCGAGATCATCCACTAAGAAGGATTTGATTTTTTTTTTTTTTTCACTAATAATATTACTAACCAGAAGTCCATGGCCAGTAATTTAAATAAAATTTGTAGTCCCTATTTTTTACATTTCTAGAAAGATAAAACCGAGAAAATGATTGCTTAAAAAAATAAAAATGTTTAAAGATTTCAACACATGAAACATTTTCTCGAAAACTGAAATAGTTTTTAAAACAAATTTTTAAGACAATCCTGTTTATGTAGTGTTTGTAAAACTTTTTTTTCTAGTGGAGATGCGTCAGTGATTAATCTTTATGGAAATGTAAAAATTTGTGACTTAAACATTTTTTTGAATAAAATTTAGTCATGAAAATATTGGTGGTTATTACAAAAAAGTGTAACATTTTATCTTATTTAAAAAAAAAAAAAAATTATTGATTATAAGAGTAAATAATTAATGAATATGTACTGAAATTTTTGGTAATTTTCCTTCGAGGGTTTGTGAGCCCGAGGTTGGGAAACTTAGAAATCGACATGTAGTAGATAATTTTAATAAAACACATTTACTTTCAAAGTGGACATTAAAAAATAAAAAAAACTTTTTTTTTAATTATCTGTAATTTTTCATTGCGATTTTGAAATTATATCCCATTGCTATTAGTGTGGAGAATTTGTATGTTTTTTTATCAAATAAAGACTTGTTTGAAAAATTTAAATATGTAAAGTTTAATTGCATTTTCAAGAGTAAACCTCTTTTTAAAAAGAACTATACCTTTTTTTTTTTTTTTTTTAATAATTTTAGCAACTGTTAATTTTTTTTTTTTTTTGTATGGATGTTCAAAAAGGAAATAATTCTGAATTACTATGTTTAAGAGTAATATATGATAATTCAATAATTCTTAAATTCAGAATAATTATTGATTTCCTGGGTTCCTATAAGTATGTATCCTGTAGACATCCTATAAGGATGTCTACAGGATACGAGCAAGGTATGCAAAATACAATAATCAGTGAAAGAACGACAGTGAACAAATGGAGTCAATTTAATATAAAGTTTAATTCAATAACAAAAAAGATGAAAAAAACAGAAAGTGTTTGGATAGGCATGTGGTTTATGTGGCATTTAATACAGGAATTTCAATCATATCAATAGAGTTCATGTATTACTTATCTGTGCCTCAGAGTCAATATGTTCATATAAAAAGACAATGTCTGACTTCTGGATTTCTATATAACCAATTATTGGATCCTCTGGATTTCTGGATCATTCTAATGTTCATTAATCTGTTAAGCCAAATGCTTACAGTCATTGAAGTTGATGTTCAAGATATATCCATAGTTCATCAATAAAATATAACAGGTTAAATCAAATTTCCTTTGGTTATTGCTTTTACTGCTCCACTTGAAGCCATAAAAGTATGTTCAAAATATTTAGATTTTGGCACTAAGTAACCCATAGCGGTTGATATACTGCTAAACAAAATCAAACAACCTGTATGAATAAACTCTTTCATGACATTAATCCATCTAATATCCTACAATTTCTTAAACTGTATTCCAAAATACAACTTCAACAAAACTACAACTTATAATACACAAAACTGCTAGTAATCATGTCCACACAAATATTGATATGCACAAAAGCTGAGTATCATCTACCATGCATTCAATTGTGAAAGCAGAATAACATTATTACTTCAAAGCTCCTAAGAAAATTGAATTGTCATTATATAACCCATAAGAAGTTGATATGCTGTTAAACAATCAAATCACATTTAAACAAATACTGTTATAACGAACCTACAGTGCACAGGAAAAACCCCAAAAAATGGATTAAAGTTTCAATATGTATTAATCAATTTTCAACATCATTATATATATATATATATATATATATATATATGAAAAAATATACTCTTAAGGTATGCTATATTTATGGGATAAAGTGCTCAATATCAGAGATAGAGTGTGTGTAAATATAAAAGTAAACATAGAAGTCAACACTTAGAGCCAACAGTCTGTTCCATGCTAGATACAATCGCCAGGCCAGGTGGATTGCATCTAGCATGAAACGGACTGTCGCCTCTATGTGTTGACTTCTATGTTCACTTATATATACAAGTTGCGTGAAGAGGCAGCAAAAATTGTTGATATTTTGTTTTTTAGTTGCCATTGGCAATGCAAATGATTGGGTATAAAGGTAAGGTTGGGAGATGACCAATTTCTTTGGTTGGTGGGCTGAAATTACAGTTGGTGTCGGGAGCAGATTAGTGAAGTGTATATGTTGGGGGGGGTGATGCACACCTTTCTTCAGGGTTGAAATCGACA